TGCTGTAAAATCTTAGATTCGTTTAATAGACGATGTGTTTGATTGAGAATTATTTATTTATAGCTTTCTATTACATGTTTGTGGAACTCAACGTTTTCATGGTTTTTGTTTGATGAAAAACAATACAACATTGTTATACTCTATGATATCGTAATCTATACATTGTATAGACAAATAACACACAATACAGTAAAAGACCATTTGTGTGAACTGAAAACATTTCAGCTTTTGGTTCACACAATTGATAAGTTCACACAGCTGACACTTTTTTAACGTAGGGTTTATGGGCTGCTGGTTTTGGTTTAGTTCAAACAAATGCTAGTTTACACAGATGGTCATTTACTGTATCTATAAAAAATGAATAATAATTATATAATTTATAGCAATTTTCTTGTTTTGTTTTGAATTGTTCTGTATTTATAATACAGTATTTGTAATCTCAATACAATATCTTCGAATTGGCAATAATACTAGGAATCAGTAGTTTCTTAAGGAATCTACACTCAATACAAATATTTGACATAATTTAACCAAATTTAGATATAAATTATATGAAATATTTAAAATTCATAATTTGTAATAAACTATTGATAAGTTTTTTAAATAATCAAAATTAAAATATTGATTGAGTGAAGAAAAGCATAAATAAATAATTAATAAAAATAATAAATGAATAATTCATTAATCAAGAATTTTCAGGTGTTTTAGAAGTTTTGATTTTCATTAATAAAACAATATTTAAGATAAACGAACAAAACATAAGCCGTGAGAAGAGAACATAAATCAATGACAAAACCAATACTTTGACAAAAAGTTAAAACATAAACTCAATCCATAAAATCAATTTGAAAGCTATTTTAATCCAAGTCTAACATCAAATTAATTATTAAAATGTAATTTTTAGATAATATTTTCATTATTAAAATGCATTTCAAGGAAATAATAATTGAGTTTTAAAGAGCTTTAAGACTATTGGACCAAAACTATAGGATTTGAATGCAATTAAACCGACGATACGAGCGAAACGAATGCCGTAAAACCTATTCATTCAATCCATGTTTTATTTTGTCATTTATTTATCAATCTTTTACTGTATTCCCTATTATTTACAGTGTTTTCTCATGAATTTAATTAATCAATACAAATGTGTTTTTAGTATAAATATAACAAATGGTGTTTATTGTAAAATTCTGTTTTTATGCGTTTAAAAATTGTAACACAAAACAAATGCTAAACATTTGAATCACAACTGTATTAATGATTGAAAAATTGTGAATAAAGGAAATGAAAACAAAGAATTTGAATGAACAGAAAGATTGAGACAAAAGTGATTGCAAAACAAACATTACTTATTCAAAGGATTCACTAAATCTAATTAAAATGAATAACACCCAGAATATCGCTCAATACATGTGTGTCTCTGCAGCTGAACCACAAAAACAAGACTCAAATTGTGAAATATGGTTTACTTCAAAGCACACATCATATAGATATATCATTTATATATACAATCTATATATTTATATATGAATTCTGGTTCAATTCAGGCATTATTTTGAACACTTTCTCCCACACGCTTTGCTTGAAATAACATCAGATGTAATGTTGAGCATTACGATATACGCTCAACATTGTAAATGTTGTTTCTAATGCTAATATTAATCTTATGGAAATACAAATTCTGTAAGAATCTCTCCAATACTCATCCAATTACTTGCCTTGAATTGTAGTTTTTGTGATTTACGTGAAAACTGTGCTAAATATGAAAAATTAAACATTTCAATGTCACAAACGCTAAAAGATAACAGGTTTTGACACAAAAAACGATTTCTCCAACAAATAATTATAGTGGAAAATAACAATAAAATTTTTTATTCGTATAAAAATCAATAAAGTTATCACAGATTTATGAATCAAAAGCCTTCACAACATTCAGGATATTGTGTTCAGCAGATTATGCGGGAATTAAATGGACTGAAAAATCCATAAAACTCTGTTTATTAATTAATTTATAAATAATTTATTCTCAATGTTGTAATCAATGAACACATTGTAATCGATGTTTGGGAATTAATTTCAATAATGGGTTTGAAATAAATGCAATTATTGTTAGAATTGTCGAAAACGTGTAATTACTGAAAGACTGGTTCTCAGGAGGAAGTTCTCCATTTGAATATAAAAATAGCCAAAACTGTGTTAACAATGCTGTAGAGCGAGGATATGAGGAATCCGATCAATACTTTGAAAATATGGAAATACAAATTCTGTAAGAATCTCTCCAATACTCATCCAATTACTTGCCTTGAATTGTAGTTTTTGTGATTTACGTGAAAACTGTGCTAAATATGAAAAATTAAACATTTCAATGTCACAAATGCTAAAAGATAACAGGTTTTGACACAAAAAACGATTTCTCCAACAAATAATTATAGTGGAAAATAACAATAAAATTTTTTATTCGTATAAAAATCAATAAAATTATCACAGATTTATGAATCAAAAGCCTTCACAACATTCATGATATTGTGTTTAGCAGATTATGGGGAATTAAATGGACTGAAAAATCCATAAAACTCTGTTTATTAATTAATTTATAAATAATTTATTCTCAATGTTGTAATCAATGAACACATTGTAATCAATGGGAATTAATTTCAATAATGGGTTTAAAATAAATGCAATTATTGTTAGAACTGTTGAAAACGTGTAATTACTGAAAGACTGGTTCTCAGGAGGAAGTTCTCCATTTGAATATAAAAATAGCCAAAACTGTGTTAACAATGCTGTAGAGCGAGGATATGAGGAATCCGATCAATACTTTGAAATAATACACATTCACTCCACGACTGATAATACAGCGCAAAGACTCGATGGGAAGAGTCAACGGAAGGGCTTTGCTAAAGATCCTCAACGCTCGTGGCATCGACTCGATTGGCCACGTGATGCCACTCAAGAGAACGCCCGGAATAACTGTACCTAATAATCAATGGTTGGCTTTAAAAGCAAATTCAACACTAATTACATGTTTGGTTACCAGACGTCAAGAGCATCGCAGAGATGGCATCGGGAGAGATGGCAGCAATGAGAAGACCGAACGAAATGCCGACCACTCCCTGCAAAAACACCAACACTAACAGTGGCATCACTGGTCCTCTTAGAGGCACTTTGAACACAACGAAAGTGACCACAAATACGAGTAACTCTTGAATCGCCAAGAGTTTCAATTGAGTGATTGCGTGCGAGAGAAGCACTTCCAGTCCTGAAGTGCCCGTTGAAAGACATCGCTCTAAGAGACCATTCATTTGGTCTTTGATGAGTAGATAAGCGGTCAAAAGCATTGGAGAGATAAACACAATGGACACGATATATCCGGGCGACAAGAACTCCATGAACGTCGGACTCTCGGAGCCGTAAACCAATTGCTTGACGACAATGGGAGCCGAATATTTGGCCCAATATTTGTCACTAATTGTGGGCAAAAAGTCTTTCACACTTTTCATCAAAAGCCACTCAAGAGAACGCCCGGAATAACTGTACCTAATAATCAATGGTTGGCTTTAAAAGCAAATTCAACACTAATTACATGTTTGGTTACCAGACGTCAAGAGCATCGCAGAGATGGCATCGGGAGAAATGGCAGCAATGAGAAGACCGAACGAAATGCCGACCACTCCCTGCAAAAACACCAACACTAACAGTGGCATCACTGGTCCCCTCAGAGGCACTTTGAACACAACAAAAGTGACCACAAATACGAGCAACTCTTGAATCGCCAAGAGTTTCAATTGAGTGATTGCGTGCGAGAGAAGCACTTCCAGTCCTGAAGTGCCCGTTGAAAGACATCGCTCTAAAAGACCATTCATTTGGTCTTTGATGAGTAGATAAGCGGTCAAAAGCATTGGAGAGATAAACACAATGGACACGATATATCCGGGCGCGTTCTTGAGGTACTTGCAGCCTGAGAGCCTCGGCATTTGGTTAACGAACTGCTGTTACCCTCGGCTTATAAACCGGGTTATAAACAGTGATTAACACCCGTTTTTCAGAAAGTGTGAAAAGTAGTTTGAATACATCAATTGTTGTCCAATGACTGCATTGGAAATGTCGGTATAAAGTCTGACATTGCTTTCGAGCATTTCTTGCGACTAAACAATTGACAAAACAAACGGTTATTTGAAACATAAGATTCAAACTTACGGTTATGTTTGCGATACAATTGTAGCGCAAATCGATTAGTCGGGAGAAGTTGTCGGAAACGGCCACAACTGTCCAGACCTGTCCTCTCACCACAGCTTCGATCGCTGAGTCGAGAGACGAGTATTTGTGTTGTTTTACAAGAGATTTGTCAAAAGAGCGAAACAGTTGTCGACTTAAATGACCCGAATTTGGGGCACTATATGTGGCGATCGGTAATTGTCTCACTTGTCGACCAATTGATGAACAAAAGAGCACCATTTGGAGAGAAGGAAAGATGAAGAAGAATAACATGAGCGCCAGATTTCCACGAATCACAAATAAGTTCTTCTTAATTGAGGCGAAAAATCGCAGAAAATTGAAATTAATGATCGCATTATTAATGGCACACAAACGGCGCTCACAGAGCGGCCATTCGGCCATCGGTAGTGTCGAGCACTCCATTGTATTGCAGTTTGCATTCAAATGAGTGAATTCGTCGTCAATTTGGCACAACTTTAAATACAATTTGTCGAAAGTGTTTGCATTGAATCTAACGAACAGCGCTTGTGGAGTGTCTTCGGCCAGAAGCCGTCCATTCCTCATGAGTCCAATGGTGTAGGCGCCTTCCGCTTCCTCCATGTAATGAGTGGTAATTAAAACGGTTAGACCTAAGAGTGAATCCAACATTGATTACAAACACAAGAATGTGTTCGACAAACCTTCTTCTCTGCAAAGACTGTTGAGATGATCCCAAATGGAGAGTCTTATGAGTGGATCGACATTAGCTGTCGGTTCGTCCAGAAGGAGAAGAGGCGGCGAATGGATGAGCGAAACGGCCAGAGAAATACGCCACCGATGGTTGTCTGTCAGATCTCTTATCAGTCTGTTTTCGTCCGGAAGATTGAAGAGTGAGAGCAGAAAATTGACCCTTTGGTAGATGAGAGCCATCGGAACCTGATTTAAATATCCGTAATATTGAAGCGTTTCGTCGATCGTTAACTCGTCGTAAAGAGCGATCTTTTGAGGCATAAATCCGACTCCGATTCCCGGCAACGGATTGACGGTTGGATTGGTTCCGAAAACGTTAATTAAACCGCTTTTGGGTTTCAGTCTTCCGATCAGACATTTCAAAACAGTCGACTTTCCGCAACAACTCGAACCTATCGTTTCCTAACCATTAATTCATGTCTAAACAATCACAACCAAACGCTCACCCAAAAGGGCGTAAATCCTTCCTTTGGGCACTTGAAGACTGAGTCCATTGAGAACCAGTTCTTCGTCGTAAGCAAACGACACATTACTCACATGAATGGCACACTTGTCGGGCGCCGAACAATAGTCGCCGGAAGTCTTTGAGTCGAGTCTCTCAATGTTGTGAACGCGTCTGAAGAACGGCGCTGTGCTTAAGGCAAACCTGAGCGCATCCAAAGACGCCAAACGACCGTCAGATGAGTCGGAGTCCAATTCCGGCTCAATTTTTTGGACGTGAAAAGACATCACTTTCTCTTCCAAACATATATTTCTCTGATATTGGATTCAAATTAAGGAAAAATAGTTCAGAAATTAATCTTAAAAACAGCAAAAATAATTAAAACTGGTTTTAAAAACTATTTTTTGTAAATAAATGAATAATTATTGTTGACTTACTTTTCCTATAAGTGAATAGAAAAACAATTTTAGGCAAAGAATTGTCCGAAAAGTAGTTTGAATGACAGAAAAGCCGGTTATTTGCTTGTAATTGCATTAATTGCTATTCTCTGACGATAAGTGCAATCCATGGATAAACACTTGAAGTTTTAAACAAAACTTTAATATTGTTTGCAATCTTTTCTATATTTAACATATTATTGATTGCGAATAAAATGCCAAAAATGTTCACTAAAAACAATTTCGAGTTTTATTTACATATTTATGCAATAAATGCCAGAATTAGGTGTTTTCCCGGTTTTACATTTACAACAAATACTTTTGAAAACATTTCACAATAATTAGTGTTTTATTATTAATGTTAAGATTAATCAATCAGAAGCCAAGGGATACTTCTAGGGATGCGCGGATGAGCGGTCCTTCCTGTTTGAACTCTCAAACTTATTGTAAAAACTTATTGTAAAATATATGCATTTATTTGGAAAGAGCACACTTTGTATTCACTTTGATTAGATTGAAAAATGATCAAATAATTAAAGTATTAAAGTAAATTGATTATAAAGACATTGTTTTGAAAGCAGAGATATATTTAGAATTCAAACAATACAAACAGCAATTGAGTGTATTATTTGCGTCGATATATAGAAGTTCTTCAATAGAACTGAACTTCAAATCGTGTTTTCTATGATTTGTTAAACTTATTAAACACTAAAACTCTATAACTGTATAAGAAATGGACAAAACATTTCTCTCTTGTGACAAAAAGTGACATTTCTTTGCAATCCTTATAAACCCTTGTTTTGGACTTTTCGCTGATTTGACACAAAAGTGATCAATATTTATGAAATCGTGTCAAAACATAGCAATAATTATTGTTAGACTTTGTTTCGAGAGTTCAATACTTTTTTGTTCATATTTTCTAATTCAAAACTTTGAGACTAAGAGAGACTCAATGTTTGCATTCAATTATTGTTCACATTTAATGATTGACTCAAACCAAGTGTCCACAACTCTGACCACCGATTGTCTCGTCAGTAAATGTTTAGCCCATATATTGTCCTCAATTCACAGTAAACTTACTGTTTATGCAATGATTGAATAAATTGCGGACAAAATACTAAAATAAGGGAAAAACAAGTCTTACTTTTAGATGTTTGGATCGAAAGTACGGAAACTTAAATTAAACGTCAAATTAAAGTATAATTAATGGCAAAACGCTGTAAACAATGATTTCCTCATTGCTTTCAGTCTTAACTCAATTCCCAAAAAGCGCTCAATTAATGCTTTCTTCCAAACCTATAGAAAAGGTTTCGATAATCACGGAAATTGCCGGAAATTTGGGGAATATTTGCGCAGAAATAATGAATTGTATATAAAATGGGAAATATTTTGGGAATAAAGACACAAAACTAGAGTCGAGACGACATCTGTTGAGAAGACGTAAATAGTGACGAAATGTTGGCTCCAATCAAGTGATTGTCTTTTGAGAGATCCATGGATTGGAGGCAATACTTGACTCTCAAGAGAGAGAAGTTGAGGAATCAGTTGACGGACAGCGAGAAGACTAATGAACTCTTCGCCGGCGTTTGCGTTCACATCAATGGAGTGACAAATCCGTCGGAAATTGAATTAAAGGAATTGATTGTTGGCTTCGGAGGAATGTATTTGACTTATTTTGATCCGCAACTGACCACTCATACCATCGCTTCCAATCTGGCCTTCGCTACGACCAAGCGTTTGAAGACATCGCAAATTGTGGTCAAAGTTGAATGGATTTTGGACTCAATTGAAGCCAATTGTTTGCAATCGGTTGACAATTATCTTCTCGACAAAACAGATCCCAAATTGATGGACAATAAGACACGCGAAGAGAAGACAACAGTTTGCCAACCGGTTCTCAATGAAGACCATTTCGATTGGTTGTCGGAAACTGAGCGACAATTTATCGAAGACTTGCCGCGAGGTTTACGCGAAGAGGTTTTGGCGGACATTGAGTTGAGTCGCGAATTAGAGAAACAAAGAAATGATTTCTCGGACGACGAGTTGTATTCGGAAGAAACGGACGAAACGAGTGACGAAATGGCAGATCTCATGTCAGGCGACGTCACGTGTGCTAACATTTGCGGCAAATACAGGACCGAAGAAGTGTTGGATTTGATTGCAGAGTGGATCACGAGTGAGGAAGAGTTGTTGGAGGAAGACGTGGCGTATATCACGAAATACTTCTTGGATTTGATCGACGAAAGAAACATCGATTGTTTGGAACGAGTTTTCGACACATTTTATAATTGTGTTGAAAAAAGAGACGAAAATCTTTGGAAACAATGTTTTAATAATATTCGAGAAACTGTTTCTTCGGAACTAATTAATCACAAAATTGTCAAAAGTTTACCGTTTTTTCCCAATTCTTAATAAATCTTAATTTTGTGCAAATATTTACGAATAAAAATGTTATCATTTTTTATCAACGAAATAGTGGTTTGAATTTTGCGCCGAAAATGAATGAAATAAAAGTCAAATTTTGCGCAAAAATTGTTTACATTTTTAAATATATTTCAAGAAATTGTTTTGATTTTTGAGACTTTTGTCAAAATGTTGTCAAAAAGTGTAAAGAGTTTATTTCGAGTCATCTTTTCGCCCAAATATCTGTTGATAACCAATTCGATGACTGGAATCGTTTCGGTGACAATCGGAGACTCGATTCAACAATTTCTTGAATTCAAATTTGATAATCAATTGCAAGAAAATAGTGAACAAAATGTGTTTGAATTCAATAAACGCAGAAATTGTATGTTTTTTATGAATTATTTGCAAAACTAATTGTTCTCTAACTGTCAGTAAACATGTCTTTTGCGGGCATTTATTTCGGACTTTTCGGTCATTTTTGGTACAAATTTCTGGACAAACGCTTCCCGGGTTCGCATAGAAGAGCAGTGCTGAAGAAGTTGCTGTCGGAGATGGCAATGGGTCCGCCGCTCGTGTCCGGACTTTTTCTCATTGTTTCCAAACTGAAAGACAAGAGTTTTGAAGAATGTTTGAATGATTTGAAGACAAACTTTGTTCTCATTTGTTCCGTGAGTTGTGTTTGAGTCACAAATAGAGTGATAATAAAGTATAATTACAGGTCGAATGGTTGGTCTACATTCCGCTTCAGTTTCTCAACTTCTCGCTATTGAGACCACAATTTCGGTACTTATTTGTGGCCATAATATCTCTCGGTTACGACGCGTTCCTCTCTTACGTCATTCACAGAAACGACAGATCAAAAAGATTACGAGAAATAAAATAGATTTTAATACGAAAACCGGTTTTAAATTTGTACCAAAAGTTTGACAACAATTATGACTTTGAATGAACGGAATTAAAGTGTTTTCTCATGTTTCCCTTTTCCACGAACCGCTTCTCGCAGCCATTGAACGGACATTTGTGCGGTTTGTCTCCCCTGTGGATCATCAGATGCAACTGCAACTTGTCGTTGCGCAAGAACCGCGACTCGCAACCTAAACACAGCGACAGTGAGCACAACATCCACAATGCATGGCATGGCATACCGGGCCAACTGCAGCGGTACTTCTTCTCGCCGGTGTGCAGGATCTTATGGACGGCCAGATCGTGATATCTGGACGCGCGGAACTGACAGCCACTCCAATCGCATTTGAACACTTTGTCTCCCGTGTGCAGCGCTTTGTGAACTGTGAGCGCGCGGTTCCGCTTGAAGGCGCCGTCGCATCTGCGGGAGAGAGCGAGAGTGAGACAAGACTGACACTTGGGTGTGCAACAACTGACCCTGGCCAGTCGCACTTGAATGGGCGCACATTGGAGTGCGACTTCTTGTGATAGCGCAAACCGTCGGCAGTGGTGAAGCGCGAGTCACATCCGGGCCACGAACACACGAACGGCTTTTCTCCCGTATGATTGCGAGTGTGGTTCTCGAGCTGTTGTTTCGTGAGTCCTTTGTATCCACAGCCGGGCCACGAGCACCTGTACGCAAGGGTTAGCAACACAACACACACACCGCAAACACTGACCCGAATTTCTTGTCCCCGCTGTGCGCCTGCAGATGAATCTTGAGGCCGAGTTTGGTCTTGAGACTCGCAGCGCATCCCTCCCACGAACACGTGTACAGTTTGGCCGAAGAGTGACTAGACTTGAGGTGAACGTCCAGAGTTGTGGAGCGCGCGAACGACTTGTTGCAGTCCAGGACAGGACACGCGTACGGCTGTAATGACAACAATCAGTGGCCAATAGCGACAACAATAATGCTAACCCTGTTCCCGGTGTGGACGGCGTTCATGTGTTCGTCCAACAGTTTGGTGCGTTTGGCCGCATAACTACATCCCGGCCACGAACACGACATCCCGAGCTTCGACCCGCTTTTGACCCGCAGTTTGAACTTCAATGGCTTTTCGGACGCTTTCTTCTCCTCCAAAAGGCTTTTGTACTCTCTCTCTAGTGTCTGACAAAACTCGTCCCTCTCTTCCCTCTCCAACACTGTTGTCCTGAACTTCAACAACACGTCGATTATCTTCTTCGCCATCAGGAGATCATTCCTCAGCGACTGATTCTCTTTCTTCAATTGACTTATTTTTTGGTTCTTTTGTTTCGCAAAATTCTTACTCTTATTCACAATCAGTAATTCGTTTCGCATTTTCTCCACTTTTCTCTTCAAAACCTCAATGTCTTTGTTTTCATCGCAAATCTCTTCGCACTTCTTGTTCCGATTACTTCTTCGGTGATTGTCTTCGCTCGCTTCCTCCGAAGCGTCAATCGGTTCACTCTTCAAGTGATTGGCGGTTCGATCGATGAGTTGATCCAATTCTGGATCCAATTCAAGAATAGGACTCTTCAGCAACTCTTCCATCGTTTCCATAATATTACTTCCTCCGAAGCGTCAATCGGTTCACTCTTCAAGTGATTGGCGGTTCGATCGATGAGTTGATCCAATTCTGGATCCAATTCAAGAATAGGACTCTTCAGCAACTCTTCCATCGTTTCCATAATATTATCTCAAAATTGTGTCCAAAATGTCAATCAATTAAAGGATTTGTTTTGAAAACAAATACACAAAAAGGGAGCGTCTCTTCATTTACAACACTTCCAGTCATTTCTTTCATTTAATTGTCTTTCAAATCAATTTTCATTTCCAATAAAACATTTAATAATTAATAAATTGTGGTTTTAATCGCTTTTTATTGAAAAATAATCCATTTTTCTTAGTTTTCGACACTTTTTGCACAAATTATGCAAAACTTTGAAATCCTTCGCAAAATTCTGTTCAAATATTTGCCAAAACTTGAAACAATTGAAAAACTATTAAAACTAATCGTTTGTTCAAACAGTTAATGAAATACTAATTTTATTGACGAAAAAATGGCGAAAACGTCGCGAAAGAGAACCAATTTGTCGCTATTCTTCGCCATCTTTCTAATGATGATTACTTTCATGTCTTTTCTCATTCTTATATATTATGAAACTCACAAACCGTTAGTTATTGAGACAAAAACGGGTAAAATAATGGCCACAACTGTCACTCGGCTCGGAAAGAGTGTCCACTGTTTCTTCGGCATCCCTTACGCCGAACCGCCGGTCGGAACGTTGAGATTCAGAAAAGCGGTTCCAAAGAAAGCGTTCAAAGGTTTGCTTTTCAACACGTTTTGCAAATGTTTGACAAATTCTTTCGCAGAAACTCTAAAAGCCTTAAAACAACCGAATTATTGCTTTCAACGCAAGACAACAATCGACAAGAGCTCTGAATACGTGAAACAAGTCCTCAAATACATTCCCGATTTGAACCACTATTTCGATGTGGAGCGCGCCGAAGACTGTCTCTATCTCAATGTGTTTGTTCCCGACTCGGGCGCCAACAAGACGGTGATGGTGTGGATCCACGGCGGGGCCTTCATCTCCGGTCAAATCAGTCATTACGACGGATCCACTTTGGCCGCCGCTCGAGACGTGATTGTCGTGACCGTCAGTTATCGTTTGGGAGTGTTTGGCTTTCTGGCGGCTAACGGTTCGGAACTTCCGGGAAATTACGGACTTCACGACCAGGTGTTGGCTCTGCACTGGATTCGCGACAATATCCACGCTTTCGGCGGAAATGTCGATAATGTGGTGTTGTTTGGAGAGAGCGCGGGCGCCATCAGTGTTGGCTATCATTTGATTTGTCCGTTGAGTCGCGATCTGTTCTCAAGAGCTATTCTCGAAAGCGGAAACCCTTTGGTTCCGATGATAATGGCCGACAGGAACATCAACACTGAGGCCACTCTCGACCTGATCCGCGCGCTCTGTCCGCACATCGCGGCCACACAAGTGGACAGCCGTGGGATCACGTGTTTACAAGAGGCGAATGCGTCGCTTCTCTACGATTGGTCTCAAAAGATATTTGCGCGAAGAATCGGATCTTTTCTTCCCATTGAAGACAACGACTTCTTCGCAGAACATCCGCAAGAATTGGTGAGCAATCGGCAGTTCTTCGGCTCCAAAGAGATTCTGATCGGAACGAATGCCGTCGAAGGTTCGCCAACGAGGATCATAAACGTAAACTTGTTTTAACAGAGTTTGCATTCAGGCGCCAATTTCGCCACTTTCGGACCGTTTGGCAAATTCCCGAAAAACGCGTTCACGAAACACACATTTGTCGCGCTTTTGAAACACAATTTGCCCGAAGAGTACAGCGGTTTGGCGGAGATGGCGGTCGACTACGTGTTGGACGGCGTTTCCAATGGCAGCGATTCCACAGAGGTCTGGAACCGATACGTCGATATCGTGGGAGACGTCATCTTTGTTTGTCCCGACTTTGTCTTCATTAACCACTACTCGGCGGCCAATCAAACGGTCTTCTATTACCGCTTTGTGCCGAAAGCCAAGTACTTCTGGTCGGGTCCCGACTGGGCGTCGGGTGCGGTTCACGCGCAGGAATTGCCGTTTGTTTTCGGCATTCCTTTGGTTTTGCAAAAATGGTTTTCTCTCAAAGAAATACAATTAAGCGAAACATTGATGACTGTGTGGACAGAGTTCGCCAAAACGGGGTTTGTTTCGCATTTTCAGACCTTTGTCCTCAAGTGGCAGTTGTGCACGAAATCCTAAAACACAGAATGCATTGACAACTGTTGAGAACTAGT